CCCCCCACTAGCTTCATCCCAAAGGATTCTCATACCATACTCTTACTTCCCTGAGCATTATCGTCGACTGTATTACCTTTCCCCTCACTAGCTTCAGGATGTATGACAGCGAACCCTGTTGCTGTTCTTTCCATTGTTGCATCTTAATTCCTTTGTCTAGCTCTAGACCTACGATTCTTACTATAGCCCTTGAATGATCCGGATCCTCCCAACCCGTATCTGTTTTTTTTTTCTCCGTTGGCTCCAATAAGCATAACCAGAAATTTGGAATTGCCCTGTGTAACTTGGTTAGGTTCTCTGTCACATGCTGAAGATGAGCTAGTTTCCTCTTTAGTAGTACTGATGCAAGCCACTTTTTTTCCTGGCTATCCCAGATATCTCTTACCCGAATTACTCCCCTTTCAACCTTTGCTCTCCCGAACGAACCCGTCCTTCCATCAGCGGGAAACGTTGAGCCTTCCTCCTGTTTGATGAAACTGTTCTCAAATAGGATTTGGCTAAAAACCTCCTGCCCTGTGAATGAGGGCTTACTTTCAGGTGGACGGACAACAGAAAAAAACCTCTGTTGATTTTCAGGTTGGAGAAATGTTTGTCTTGTTCAAGCAACATTTAAATTAACGTTGGTGTTGAAAGCAACGTTCCTTGAACCGGTCAACAATTATCCGGTAAGAAAAATGTTGCCTGAGCGTTGCTGAAGTCATGATTAACGATGATAAAACTAACTACGTCTCTTTCAAAGAATATGGGCTACAATTGTGAAATGTGAAGGCCATCATCTTATTAATATTGAAAAAAAAAAAAAAGATATAGTACGTCGTTGGAGGAGTATCCACCACCGGACTCACGGTAATATACAGTTGAGTTGACGGCAGAGACAGTGATGCCTAGTACGGGTCATGCTTCATGCAATTAACTATTACTTTGTATTCAATTGTCACGTATGATGTCGTCCTTCTCATGTGTTCCCGTTTCTCCATAACGAATTTGCGATGTCATGGTCTTCATCGCATAGATGCTCATTTTTCGTTGTATAAAGATAAATTAAAAAAAGGCTCTATTCTAATAGTGGGGAGCAACCTATTCTGGGAACTGGGCCCGGTGTCCGTTGTCAAGAATTTTCTTGACAACATGAGAGCATCGGGGCCATTACTACCCAACTGCAGCAGGGAAAACAACAATAAGCACTACTCCAAAGACCCTTATTTTTTTGTCAACCTGCTCCTAACAGCACCTTTCTAACGGGAACTATATCTGTTCCATCAACACCCGGCCTTCCTTTTACAGACCCCCATTTTTCTGATCACGAACTGAAACTTCCCATGCGCATCTCTTGATCTCTCCGCACTCTATCTTGTCTCCTCAACACGCCTGCATTATCTTTCTCCGTCCATTCCTGTTTTCGCCAAGTGCTGGTTCAGACCTCTTTCTCCTGCGCACGGGATCCACTTCTCTGTGTCCGTGGCTCCTTCCTCATGTCATTCACTCTTTCCCCTGCTTGGAGGGATCCCTGTCCGCCTTTTTCGACAGTATCTTTCTTTCGTTTGTTAGTTCGTCGTTTGTGTGTGTGTGTGTGTGTGTGTGTGTGTGTGTGTGTGTGTGTGTGTGTGTGTGTGTGTGT